CGGGCCCGGGCAACGCGGGGCCCTGTGCGACCGTGTCGGTGTTCCCTGGAGCCCGCCTTCTCACGATCGGCGACGCGAACGGCGAGATCCAGCGGCACGCGGAGCAGCAAGCGCTGCGCCTTGAAGTGCGCGCCGGGCCGGACGCAGCGGGCATCGCCCTGTACAGCCGTGAGTGGCGGGGACTGCCAGGGTGGGAGGGCGGCGTACGAGGCCGACCTTGCGGGGCGCGAAGAAGGGGGAAGGGGACCCCGCACCCCGCGATCGAGATGGCAGAGAGGACGGGTGTGCGCGTGGCAGCCGACCGGGAACAAGGAGGGGCAAGTGGGAAAGCCGAGTGAGGGGCGTGAGATTTGGAAAAAGGGGGCGCGTGGCAGGAAGCTGGGGGCCTCGGAGCATACAAGGGGGATGTAAGGAGAATCCGGGAGAGGGCGATTCTGGGGGTGCTTATCTCAGAGAACACCCGCCTCCATACGCACAGCACACATGGACTGTTGCAAAGTGGATCCCAGCGTGGAGCACCCCGGAGCACCGGGTGCCGCCCTTATGGAGGAGGATTTAGGGTTCGGGATCCCCCCGCACTAAGATTGGTAAACTTCTAGAAAGGAGGGCACAGCCCACCAGGGAGAGGGGTAGATCGCCCCCACAACCCCTCATAGAAACGTGGACGAGGGAAGGCGGCCTTGCTGATGGCCGGCTTTACAAGTCAAGAGGTAACACTGCCACCTCCCTCGCTGGCCACGCGCCGCCCTCCTGTCTTGTTTGAGGATGTGAGAAGCTGGTGACATTATCTGAAGCTGCTCTGAAAAACTGACATTTCTTTTAGGTGGGGATAAGGAAAAAAACCCCAGCACCTTGTTTTCCCGGCGCACCCCCACCCCCACCGCAGTCTTTGTAGTCCCACCTTTTTTTTGTTACTCTTTCTTCTTTCTGGCGATTTCTCAGTGGCATTTTGCAATTCTCTTTCACTAGGCTTTGTCTCCTACTCTAAGGAGTATCCAAAGAGGCCCAGATTGCTTTTTGATTGTGGGAATTTTTGTCCGAAGCTTGGAAATGAGTTGTTGGGAGACGGCATAGCGTGGGCCGGGATGTTCACACCGAGTTCTCTTCCCTTTGCCTTGACTTTGAAAAACCCAGGGAAAGAAAGGAGTGTGTCTGGCAGAACTGGGGTCTCCTAGGACCATGTGAAGAGATCTCACAGGTGAATTTAGGACGGATTAAGAAATCAAGCTTGGGTGGGTCCCCAGATTCCTGAGCAAGCCCATTCATTTGGCAGGCTAGGCTTACCCTCTAAAGTGCTCTGGACCCAGCACTTGGTAGGCTGAAGCAGAAGGATTAAAAGTTTGAGGCCAGCCTGGTCGAAATAGCCAAACCTTGCCTCAAACAGCCACTAACAGAAAGTTCTGGGAGGGTTGGGTTATTTGTTTAAATGAACTTTAAGAAAACATTTTATTTTATTTTATTTATATATTTTTTGAGACAGGGTCTCCTTGTAGTCCCAGATGGCCTGGAACTTGCTATGTAGATCAGGCTGGCTTCAGTCTCACAGAGATCCTCCTGATTCTGCCTCCCCAAAGCTGGGAAGGCACCACCATGCCTGGCCTTATGAAAACATTTTAGAAAGGTTTTTTTATTTCTAGAATTTTATGGAATTATTAGTTCCCAAATAATCAGATCCTACACCCAGCTCCCTCCATTCTCATCTTATCTTATTCCAGGAGTCTTTGTAGGTTGTTTTTGTTTTGTTGACAATTATGGTAGTGGACCAGCTGGGTGTGGTGATGCACACTTTTAACCCCAACACTCAGGAGACAGCAGCTGGTGGATTCTGTGAGTTTGAGGCCAGCCTGGTCTACATAGGGAGCTCTAGGCCAGCTAGGGCTTCAAAATGAGACCTTGACTCAAGGAAAAAGAAAAGTCGGCCAGGGGCTTATCATGGGTGTGCCTCTGGATTCAGTCCTCAATGCTGAAATAAAAATAAATAAATGAAAAAGGTTATCATCTCCGGGGGAGCCGGGGGAAACCTGGGCTTAGTGGTACATACCTATCATCCTAGCCCTTGGAAGGTGGAGGCAGGAAGGTCAGAAGTTCAAGGTCTTCTACCACATGGCTTGTATAACTTTGAGCAGATAGAGGTGAGAGGACAACTTTCAGGAGTTGGTTCTCACCTTACACCCATGTTGATCCCAGGCATCAAACTCTGCTTGTCAGACTTGGCAGCAAGTATTTTTACCTGCTGACCCATCTTGTCCCATTTTTCCCCATTTTTGAGACATAGTCTCGTGTTCCCTAGCCTGACTGTGGACTTGCTTTATGACCCAAACTGGCTTTGAATTCCTGATCATCCTACTTCTGCCTCCTACCTGCTGGGAGTCTAGGTTTATATCTCCCTGTTTAGCTTTGGGGTGCCATTAAGCATGGGTTCTGTGGGCAGTTTAAGCTGAGTGTGTTAATTTAATTTTATTTTTTGAGATGGTTGCCCTGTAGCCCCAGCTGTCCTGGAACTCACTGTGTAGACCAGGCTGCCCTTGAACTCACACTCAGCCTCCCAAGTGCTGGGATTACAGGCATGTGTCACTATGCCCTGCTCTCCCTCTGCCTTTTAGAGGGACAAAAGCTTCACCTCTGTCAGTTTCTGTAGCTAAACTCTAGGCTCCACTCCTTCCTCATGGTTTTGCCTCTGTGTACTTGTCTCCTGTTTCTGTTTTTTGTTGTTTTGAAAGAGTCTCATCTAGTCCTAGCATGTCTTGAACTTGATGACTAGCACAAACTGGCCTTGAACTCCTGATCCTCCTGCCTCAGCATCCTAAGTGTTGGAATTAATGATGCAAACCATTACTCTCAGTTCCCTTTAAATTGTGTGAGGTCTGGCCTGTAGAGGTCAGAGGACAATTTATAGGAGTCAGTTCTAGCCTTCTACCATGTGGGTCCTGGGGACAGAACTTAGGTGGTTAGGGATCAGACTCAGGTCATTAGACTTGGCTGTAAGTCCCTTTACCCAGTGGCCTAGCCTCATCTTTTATTAGGACACTTGGGCCTACTCTGAAAGTGGATGATGTCACCATGAGGTCCTTACTTATTTCCAAGACCTTATTTCCAAATATGATACTCTTCACAGATTCCAGGAATGAGGATATCTTTCTGGGGTCACACTACATGTGTTGTGGGGGTTTAAATCTCAGTTTCCTTCATCTCAGAGCAGGCCCACTGTCCTACCTATGTGAGAGGAGCAGAGTATAGCTGGCAGCTAGGTGGATCAAGGGGAAGCTCCCTTGTTTCCTTGGGGTGAACCAGGCCACTGGGGCATCAGGCCTTTGCTTGAAGTAAGCTTCCTTCCTGGTTTTCTGGGGCCTAGATGCTTTGGCCAAGCCAGAAGACTCTGCTAGTTGCTTTGAGCCACCTGTGTATCTAGACCCTGGGATCTGAATCGGTGTATAGGCTATTAGGAGGGTCTTTCAGGACACCAGCAGGAAATGTCCAGAGGCTTACATGTGGGAGATAGACCAGACGCCTCTGGAGTACTTCAAGGATCCAGACTGAATCTGAGTGTCTAGGTGCTGGGCAATCACAAGGCCTTCAGCTAACCTTCCAGCCTCTCTCTGCTTGTTTTCTTGCCCGTGGCAACAATTGCCCACAGCTTTGAGTCTTTCTATACCTGCAGTGGGTTGAGAGGTGTGGGAGAAAGAGCCTTTTTTTTTTTTTTTTTTCGAGACAGGGTCTCCCTATAGCCCCAGCTAGCCTGGAGTTTGTGTGTAGATCTGGCTGGCCTGGCTCTCACAGAGATTTGCCTGCTTCTGGCTCCAGAGTGCTGGGATTCTGGGATTGAAACCAAGTAGCCTGGTAGAAAGATACTTTTTTTAAAAATTACATATTTTTGGTAATTTCACAGATGAATACAATGTATTTAGATCATACCCACACCATCAACAGCTTTTTTATAGATTTTTTGTTGTTGTTGCAGTTGGGGTTTTTTTTAGGTCTTTTTGAGACAGGGCCTCCCTGTAGCCCTAGCTGGCCTGGAACTTACTATGTAGATCAGGCTGGCTTTGAACTCACAGAGATCTGCCTGCCTCTGCCTCCCTGCCGGCATTAAAGGCATGTACCACCGCCCAGATATAGATGTTATTTTTATTATTGTTACTATTTTGAGACAGTTTCATGTAGCCAAGGCTGGCCTCAAACTCACTATGTAGCTGAAGATGACCTTGAACTTCTAATCCTCTTGTCTCCACCTCCCAAGGGTTAGGTGTGAGCCACCAAGCCTGTTTTATGTGGTGCAGGAGATGGAACCCAGGGCCTCCTGCATACCAGGAGAGCACTCAATCCACTGAGCTACAGCCCAGACATGTCATCAGGCTTGTACAAGGAAGAGCTGGTTTTCTAGGATACCTCCTTGTGGTACCCTATGGTAGGAGAGAAATTCCTCAACCCCCTTGGCATCTTGCCCTTTAGTGGGAAGACTGACAGCTGCAGAAGGCCCCAGTCCCTCTGCAGAGCAGTCACCTGCCCCAACCTTCTAGCCATTTGAAGTTACCCTGGCTTTTGTCCATAGGATTGCCCATATGGCAGGCAGCTACCCAAACCAGGCTGTGTTCCCTGGTGTTGGCTTCAAGAGCCTTGAGGAAGCATTGGCATGGTCTCCATGTGCATGCAGGCTGCCACCCCTGGAAGGAGGCAATGTCTCAGGAAAGCCCAGCCAGGACTGGCCAGAAGAACAGAACCGACTCACAGTTGCTCAGCCTGGCACCATCCCCTCTGTAGATCCCGGTCATCCTTTTGTCTGGTCAGCACCCTGCATGTTCTCCAAACCCTTGGCTAGGAAGAAACAGCCCACATACACTCTGACAAGGGCTTATTTTATTTTGTAGACTGTGTTGGGATAGGGGCTGTAGTTTAGTGGGTAGAGAGCCTGCCTAGCAGGCTGAGTCCCATCCAAAGTACTGCATAAACCAGACCAGCATTGAGGAGGCTGATGCCGGAAGGTCAGGACTTCAAGGTCAGTCTGAACTAAGTTGTGAATTCAGACCTTGTTATGTAGCAGGATTCCATTACTGGGGGCCCTATGACTTCCCTCTGAGATGCTGGGTAGCCTTTAGCCTGCTTTGTGGGCAAGCTAGTAATATCATAAAGATAATCTGTCAGTTGGTGCCTATATGTTGCTTTTGGCTTTC